TCATTTTATTTTAATTTTTTTTTTGATAGTGGATTCACTTATAAAGTCTCTTTTTAATTGTTAAATCTATCCCCAACGTTTTAAGATCGGATACAGACCAATTAGCTAGTTGAATTATTTTCCAACAACAAAATTATGATACCGAGTTCAAGATCATTGAAGCCGTCCATTTATGGCGATAAGCTGGAGATGCATGATACGAAGTGGGGGACTCTAGACTGTGCACAGGTCCAGACATTAGCATGGGGACCTACAAAGATTGCCTGCTGGTTCAAAGATTGCATTTCCCTTTCACAGTCAATCTCCTGCAAAATCTCCCAAATAGTTTTTTATATTCTTTTTAGTTTTTTGAATTTATTAATACCAATTATTTGGTGTCAATTGGTATATTAAATAATTAATCATACCACCTCCACATTTTAAACAAACTATTAAGTGCTGCTTCTATAATAATTTTATATCAATTTTTTTAACATATATCTTTAAATAAAAAAATCTTTAGAAGAGAAATTTCTTCAGTTTTATTATTATTTTATATTTAATTTTATTAATTTAATTAAAAAATTAAAATTAAAATTCATAATTATTTAGTTATAATATCTCTGATATCATATTAAATAATTATCTCAACTAAAAAAATTTAAATTATTAAATTAAAAACTCACAATGAGCTAATATTAATTATTTAACATACCATTCAGGTGAACAAATTTTCAGTTTAAAATTAATATATATTCATAATTATTCATTTCCTGTAAATCTCAAACAAATTTTAAATTACAAATCATACATTAATACAATAAAATAATTATTATAAAACAAGTAAAACAAGTAAAACATTTAAATATATATCATAACTATAACTACAAATTCAGTAAACAAGTTTTGAATATATTAACTTTGAAATATATATAAGTGTTACAACAAAAACAGGTGGGTTTTCTTGCTTGATAAAGTAAAGCTTGATAAAAAATGGAACTCATGGAAGAATGTTGTCTTGAGGTTGACGAGTTGGGTCGGTGGATTTTAAAGGAGGGTTGTGAGAGATTTAAAAAAATTAGGGTTAAGGTTTCAATTGAATTGAAGAAGAAAAGGAAAAAGATAAAGAAATTAGAGAACTATTAAGTTATAATTATTTTTTAAAGCACTAATAAGAATTTTCTTGATAAATTATAACGTCTGAATGATAAATAAAATTATTGATAAAATATTTTTATTTTTATTTTTATTAGAAATTACTAAATAGATTTTTCATCGCATTTTATATTGGTAGGCAGCGATAAAATATTTTTCATCACCAATTCTTTTTATTTTAATTTTTTTTGATAGTGGATTCACTTATAAAGTCTCTCTTTTTAAGTATTAAATCTATCCCCAACGTTTTAAGATCTTGGATTAGATCATCGTTGATACCTATAAATTGAAAATGATTTGAAATTAAACTAGATCGGATACAGACCAATTAGCTAGTTGAATTATTTTCCAACAACGAAATTATGATACCGAGTTCAAGATCATTGAAGCCGTCCATTTATGGCGATAGGCTGGAGATGCATGATACGAAGTGGGGGACTCTAGACTGTGCACAGGTCCAGACGTTAGCATGGGGACCTACAAAGATTGCCTGCTGGTACAAAGAAAATTAAAATTAAAATTCATAATTATTTAGTTATAATATCTCTGATATCATATTAAATAATTATCTCAACTAAAAAAATTTAAATTATTAAATTAAAAACTCACAATGAGCTAATATTAATTATTTAACATACCATTTAAGTGAAAAAAAATTTAGTTTAAAATTAATATATATTCATAATTATTTTTTAATAATTTAATTAGAAAAAGTAACTGTGGTGAATTCAAAGTCTTTACTATCATAACATAATAATAATTGGCAAATAGCTTGTTTTGTATTTTAGTTTTTTTGGTATCATAATAATAATTATTTTTTAAAATATTTTTTGATTAAAAATATATTAAAATAATATTTTTAAATTTATTTTTAACATAGACATATTAAAACTATATAAAAGTAATTTTTTAAAAAATACTTTTAAAATAAAAAACAAATAAATTTAAAATTTTTAATGAAAGAGATGAGATTTTATTACCGTAGTCATCCAAAATTTTTAATAAAAGAGATGAGATTTTATTACCGTAGTCATCCATGAGTTAAAAACTTTTTGTCTCATCTGTCATCCTTTCTATATGATAATCCATTTTTTTTCGTATTAGATTGCTTGATCTTATCGATCTTCTATCAAATGTAAAGCTCTAATCTTTGTATTTTTCATATGATAATTGTCTGTATCAGTTTTGTGCGAATTGACAATAAAGGCTTTTAAGATATCCCCTTAAATTACACCCTAAAAATGAGATTATGTTAATTTTCTAACATTTGTTTTTACTTGAGATGTTATGTTCAAAAAAAAGATTATATTAATTTAAAAATTTAAATAGTTGAATCTATGTTCAAAAAAAAATATTAATTTAAAAATTTAAATAGTTGAATCAGAATTTTAAAATAATTTTATATAAATTCTCTAACATTGCAACAATTAACAAAGTCTTTAATTTAATTAAGGAGAGTTTATTATTTTATTTGTTCATGAGTGGAAATTTTTTTTGTTATCTTATTGGTTAGATGAGAATCTTTTATTGTTGGTTTATAATTATACTATTATTTATTATATTTATTTTATAAATTTACGGTAGCATGCGAGTATATTATCTCATTAATGATCCCTTTTCTATTTTTACTTTTAACTAGATTATTTGCTTGATCTTATTGGTCATCAATCAAATGTAAAAATATAAAATGTATGTTTTTTTATGATAATTTGTCTGCATCGAAGTGAAGGTGTTAGAAGATAATTAGTATAAAAAATTTTGCAAGATTATTTAAACTTCTTTTATTGAGATGGTTTTCAAGCTCACCATAGGGAATTACTATATTTTTGGGAATATAATTAAAATTATATTTTTTTATTTAAAATTAATTTTTTTATATATTCATATCATTTTAATATATTTAATTCAAAAATAATTTTTAAAATATATCACAATTATATATATAGATATATATAAGGTACATGTAGTTTCATAGCTCTGGAGCTTGTATAAATAGCAATATTTAAGGTGTTTTTATTATAGTTAGCCCTTTTTTTTTCGATTCTCTTCTTTCAATTTCTTTTTTCTTTTAATTTTATATTCAGATATTTTGTAAATATTATCTAAATTATTTTTAAACTAATCAAATAAATTAAATTACATCAGAGTAGCTTTAATATAACTTAATTTTAAATTTGTGATAAACAAAAAGGTAAGTTGATAGTTTTTTCTTTCAATTTCATCATCATATCATTTTTACTTATCGATTGTATTGTTTTGGACTAATCAAATTGATTAGATGATATTAAAACAATTCTTACATAATTTGATCTTAAATTTAAGATAAGCAAGAAGAAGTTGGACTTAAAGATTTTTTCTATCAATTTTTTTTTTAAATTTTATTCTTATAATTTTTTTACTGGTTAATCAAGTTGTTTTTGAACCGGTTGTATATTATTGACTAGATTATGTTATGACAACTTTTATATAATTTAATTTTAAAATAAAGCTAGATAAAAAGTTAAATTGAGAGATTTTAATGTTAATTTATTCGACTAAATTTAATAATAATATTATATAAGTTTTTATAGTTTGAATTTTTTTTATTAGGTTAAAAATGTTTCTATCTAACCCAGCATTATGCTGCCTATAAACTAGTATGTTGATTAAACTATTATAAGTTTAAATTTTTCTATTGTTCTTTAGTTTTTAATTAAATTATAATACAAGATACAAATTAAATGGCTTTGACAAACCTCAAAAGGTTTTTATTTAAGTTTTAAAATGTTTTTTTATAGTTTTTTTAATAATTTAAAATTTTAAATTGAAATGGTAATGTTTCTACTTATTTTTTATCCAAAAAATAAAAAAAAATAAAAAAAAATTCAAAAAATAAAACAATATATATGAAGAAAGTCTAAAAGATTATTCAAGCTTGTGGTGAAAGACCAAAATGATAAGTAAAAAGTTGGAGGATCAAAATATATAAAATAACAAAATTATAAACTCAATTCTAATTGACAAAGTTTCTATTTGATGAAAATACTTTTATTTAAGGTAAAGAAATAAAAATTTAGATAGGTAAAGATTCAATGTGAATTTAAAAAGTCTTAATTAATTTTATTAAGGATTTAATTGAAAAAAATTAATATTTTAAGTTAATTTAAGTTTTAATTGGAAGAAAAAGTTTAGAGATAAATTTGTAATTTTAAGGAGTTAATTTGGTTAAATCATGAATTTAATTATATAAATATTAAAGTTTGATAAATAATTAGAAACTTGATTAAAAAAATTTAAAATAAAAAATCGAATTAAAAAAAAATGTTATTGTTGGGGCTAAAAATAACCAGGTCAAATTAAAAAAAATTAAAAATTTGATAATCAATTAAAATTTTAATACACAAATCAAAAATAAAATAACAAGATAAAAATAGTGTTAAATATTAAGGTTAATAATTGAGTTTGACAAGATATAATTGATAATAATAATAAAAATAATAGATATAATATAGATGATAGTAGTAATAATAAAAAAATAAAAAAAATAAAATTGATAATAATAATAAAAATAATATATATAATATAAATAATAATGATAATAATTAAAAAAAATTGTTTATATATAATATAAATGATAATGATAATAATTAAAAAAAATTGTTTACAGCGAGATTGATAATGTTTTTAGTTGATAAATTATTTTATAAAATTTCATTAGCCAAAAATATTTTATTTTATTTTTATATGTTAAAACATATTAAGTTAACTAATTATCTAATAAAACACTTTAAGGAAAATATACATAAAAAAACATTTTCGTGAAATTATTTTTAACAAAACAACATGTGCCGTCTCTCAAATTAGCCATCAAAATTGAAAATTTAAGAACAACAGAAAGAGTAGAATGAAAGTTAAAAAAAAAACAGAGTGGACTAGACTTAAGACTAGATCCATCTTTGGCCGAACTAGTTAATCAGGTGTTAACTCCTCTTTGTTTAATGTTAGTATATTTTCAACTCTCATTCTCCTCTGTCTTCACGAACAACAGATGCATTAAAACCAGAAGAAACTGCTGATCTAAAAAAAATCTGAAAGAAAAGGATCCCATTTTAAGTCAAAAATCTCCTCTTTCTCTCCGTAGAGAAAGAGAAGATAGACCCAGTTGAAAATTCTGTTTCACCATGCAATTGAAACCCCTTAACACTTACACAATCACAATAATGCTGTTCTTAACAATCATTATCCTTTTTTTCTCAGGATTTCTTGAATTTCCATCCATAACAACCTCAATTACCTCACCTGTTAAAGACCCAAACTTTCCTGTCAAAACAACACCAGATCCTTTCACTGATCTGTTTGTTGCTTTCAAGAAATGGGATTCTCAAGTGGGTTGTGTTCAGTTTAGAGAGAAACACAAGAATTTGGGGTCTTTTGGGTCGAAGGGGACAAATGGGTCTGCTTCTTTGCAAGTTGTTGATGGTGATGTGGGGTGTGGTGAGTTGAAGATGGAGCATGTTAATGTTTTGGTTAAAGGGTGGACTTGGATTCCTGGCAATCTGGATAATTTATATTCTTGTCGTTGTGGGTTGAGTTGTTTGTGGACGAAGTCTTCTGTTCTTGCTGACAAGCCTGATGCCTTGTTGTTTGAAACAACTACTCCTCCACTTCAGGTATTTTTTCTTGAAACAAAATTTGTTTGTTTGGAGATTTTCAGTTTTTTGGAATTATAATCAATACATACATGTATATGTTGTTAGAAACCTGCGGTGTGAACTTTTAGATAGACGCCTTTTTTATTTTGTATTTGCTCAAATGATATATAAGATTATGTTTCTAATAATCAAGTGATGATAGGTGAGCATCAAATAGGTAGGATACGGTAATTAGTGAATGACATCTTGTAGTATTTAGAAATGTGGTTTTGTGCTCATAATATTATTTAAACATTTTTGTTGTCTGGTCTAAATATCCGTGCCCTCCTTTTACTGGTAGCTGATTTCTTTGATGCAATGATAGGATTTGAAGTTGAACCTAAGATTCCTACATTGTCTATTGGAATTGGTTTTTGGATATAAACATAGAACTGATGGTTGAGGATTGACTAGTTAGACAGATTTTGCAGCAAATTGTTTGGAACAATTTTATGGTTAAAGATGGCATTCTGAGTCCATTAATCTACAAGTTGTACATGGTATGATTGGCATTTGGGAACACTGTTGTCCACATCAATATTTGTGTCCATATTTCTAGCTCCTGTAATGTTCAGGGAGGTCTATTATGTAGTTTATTTGATCTGGATTGCTTCTCATAGATTGAGGAGGAAGCGTGTTAGTCTTTGCTTTGGAACATTTTAGGGAGATGTTATCAATATCAAATGATTCAGACCATGGGCATCTATAGACTCAGAAAAAACACTTGGACAGAGTGCCTTATTTATAAGAATGCAATGCTCATATCTAACAATGGGAATTTTGACGTGAGAAAATCTTTATGTAGTTTTGTTGAAAGGTAAAGATAAACAGGAGAAGATTGATTTCCTTGAGAGATATTTGGAATACCAGAGTTCTCTCTTGATGCCTCCTTTTCTCACTCAGGTGGCTGCTTGGGTATATTATTACTAGTCATGAACTTCATCAGTGGGGAAAAGTATGATAAAAAAAAACCAATGGGGAAGGTGATGCATATGAGTGCTAGCTTTGCAAGGAAATAGTTGAGTGGCTGTTCGTTCCTGCTTTGCAGCTATGATTAGCTTGAGTGTTTGGTAACACCTTTTTGGCACCTCAAAACAGTCTTTTTATTATTATTATTATCTTCCAAAAATTGTAGAGAACTGATTTTAGAAAAAAAGGAGGAAGATGCTTTTTCTGCACAAATAGCTGTGTGGGCACTGCAATGTGAAAGAGATCCTGAATCTGACACTCACTTGTTGCTCTGATTCCAATCTTGAACTTTGTGATAGTATATATATGAAGCTGTGGGTGTCACTTAGGTCAAATGTCATGAAGCACAAATAAATTCTTTGAGAGCTGCTGGCTTTTGAAGATGAAAGAGGGAGTTCTGGGGTTATACTTCTTAGATATTTGTTGGCTGTTATGGAAGGCACAGGCAAAAGCCATCCTTTCATTACAGTGCAGGTAAAATTCCAAATTGAGCAAATTCTGTTGTATACCCTATGCTGCACAGAAGAACTATTTAGGTGAATTGGCAAGCAGTACTGCAGCTGGCAGTGCTCTGGATTCTGGAATTTTGACATCTTTGGATAATGACATGTAGTCATTATTACTCTCTGTTGTTATCAATGAAAAAGAGATGATCACCCTGCCACAGTTTTTTTATTTGTCACAAGATTTTGGATCCTCTCTGGTTGTTTGCTCAGTTAGCCTGTTTTAGTTTTTTCATGTAACTCGTGCATCCCTATTTTGTTCAATTGTTCTTCTTACCCTACTTCAAATTGGCCATTTTTATTGTGTTTTGTTAGAGGCGCAATGGGGATCCCCTTCGTGTTTACATGGATCTCGAGGCCGGCAGGAAACGCTCTGGTCATGAGGATTTATTTATCAGCTATCATGCAGATGATGATGTTCAGTCAACATATGCTGGTGCACTCTTTCATAATGGTCGAAATTATCACGTGTCTCGTCGCAAGGACAATGTAAGTGTTGGGCTTATGCTCATTCCTTGTTCTGTTCTTCTTCCTAGATAGCTTTTAGTTTTTCAGTTTCCATTGAAATTATGTTATTGCCAGTAAAGAAACTAGCAGTTGATTTCATTATTTTTCTTCTTCCAAGGATACACTTGTTTATTGGTCTTCATCACGCTGTCTTGCTGATAGAAACCAGCTGGCTAAGAGCCTTCTCAGCTTGCTGCCTCACCATTCCTTTGGCAAGTGCTTGAACAATGTTGGTGGGCTAGACATGGCCCTTTCTTTCTACCCTGAGTGTGCCAATGATGCCAGTCTCAAACCAAAATGGTGGGATCATCTGCATTGTGCCATGTCTCATTATAAGTTTGTTCTTGCCATTGAAAACACCTGGACAGAGAGTTACGTGACCGAAAAGCTATTTTATGCCTTAGACTCTGGTTCAGTTCCAATATACTTTGGCGCACCCAATGTTTTGGACTTTGTTCCTCCACATTCAATAATAGATGGGAATAAATTTAATTCCATTCAATAATAGATGGGAACAAATTTAGCTCCAAGGAGGAATTGGCTTCTTATCACAAGAACCTAGCTAATGACCCTGTAGCCTATGCTGAATACCATGCATGGAGAAGATGTGGTGTAGTGGGTAATTATGGAAAGACTCGGGCAGCAAGCCTTGACACGCTGCCTTGCCGATTATGTGAGGCTGTTAGCCGGAAAGGAGGGAGAAATGCTAGAGCTTAGTGGAATTCTGTTAATTCTGATCTCGTTTGGATTGCTTTTGCCAACTGTCATGTTGAATCCATGATTTTGTTACTCCCATTGGATGGATTGGTATTAGTTGTACACAAGCAAGAATGACCTTTGTAGAAAGCAGGAATACACGATAGGGTATATATATTCAATGGGTGAGTCCATTATTATTTTCCTCGATGAAATTGTCTGGTTTTAGTGGTATGATTTGTGTGTATTATGATTGATGGATCTCATAGATTACATAGAACCAGACTTTTCATCTGTAGTTTTCGGCTTACCCCACACATAATCTTGACCTAAACACCAGCTCATTTAGAGAAGCCTGTCCAATTATTTTCTTTTCTCCGAGTTGCCCTGTCGCAAAACATATTTGGCATTGTTTTTATCAACAGAAGTACTTGTTTATTTGGTAACAGGTTGATCATAACTTCACAACTCAGCAAATGAGTTGTGTGTTTTGTCCCATGTAGTGGCGTGTGTGTGGTTGGTTGGATTTTGGTGCTGCGCTTAGTGTTGCCAGTTAAAAATGGCTCGCTAATGCTTTGAGGTGGTGCCTAGGTAAAACTTGCTCCGAATAAGAAATCATTCAGCACGTGTTTGCTTTCAAGTCACTAGCCTAGTAGTGCTTGACGCCACCAATTTGAGCTAAGAACATAAAATATGTTTTGCTTTAGAAGTTGGAGCGAAGCACCTGAAGTTCTATACTCAAAGATGCTTTGCTCCAAGTGGTGGCTTTTTACTTATTATGACACAAGCTATACCTTACTGTCAAACAAGCTTGGATAAAAAAAAAAAGAAGAAGAACACTGAAGGAAATGATCAGTTGCCACCATATGGTGAAGAAGAAGCTAGTGCATATACAATTATGTTCAGTTGGAAGCCTTTCACACATCAGGTCTCACAGGGTCCTCATTGTCTTCTTTATGAAATTTCCACACTGAAGCCATTATTCCCATTGAAGCTGAAGATTTAGCCTTCCTGAGCCGTTGAACCTGAATTGTCACTAGCCATGCTCATCATCAATAAAAGCATTGATAATTTAAAAACAAGTTACAAATTCTTACAGTTTAAAAACAAGGAAACATGTTTAGAAACAGAGTGTCTGCAAATAAAAAGAAAATGTCTCACTTTTTGTCTAGGCTTGCTCTTTTGGATCTTCACGGTCTTTAATTCTTCAGGTCTGTTTTTCAGATATTCCTTCAACTGCTCATCATTCATAGCGTCAATCATGTCAGTCTGTCGTGGGAAAAAGAAATAATTAGAGTGCTTAAGTTTTTATTTTCTGGAGAAAAGAAAAAACAAAACGAATCAGATGTTGAAGTTCTACAAGCATGAAATTTAAAGTATTTTCTATCTTCCATTGTCCTTACTGTCGTGTGGTGAGTGAAAATCTGAACTATTTACAACAAAAAAAGAGATAAATGCTGCTTGTTCCAAAAATTAGCTCATCATTTCTAAACAGTACTGGTTGCTGTGATGGCTCAAAAACTGCTCCCTGTCAACACTTGAGCTGTTCCTTTGCCCTGCCTTGTCGTTGAAGCAACACAATTGGTGTCGCTTCTTGAGATGAAGAAACAAAAATTAGAAAATAAAAAAAGGGGTTAAATGATTTGTACCCATGCTCTAAGATCTTCAATATCTTTTACCAAGGCCTCTTCTTCTTCGTCAGCAAGATCTTTTCTCTCTTTCCATGAAATAGCCACAGGCTCTGTAGCTATCTTCTCTTTCTTCTTCCCTTCTCTCACAGTAGACATTGCTAGGTATCCACAAGAAACACAATATAGCAGGGACATTAAAAGTGATGTCAATATAGTAACGGCTGCCCATGTTTTCCCCAGCTCGCCGCTGTTACGTTATGAAAAAGAAAAGAAAAGAAAAGGTTGATGCATGAAATTCAGGGCGTAAACAGGAAGCGACAAGCAAATTGATCACAAGAACAACCTAAAGTAGAGTGAAAATCATTTATAAGATCAAGTTAATGTCATCTTTAATGGATATACCAACCAATTCCTAACATTAATTTATCAAATTATTTTATTGTGATGTATTGAGAGACAAACAATTCATTTGATAAAGATTAAAGGTAAGAAATCAAACTGCGAAAATTAGAAAAATCCACAAACACTTAGTATATCAATATCAATATCTCATTGAAAATTAATAAAATTATATTTATTGGTATAAAAATCCCTCTTCCTAAGGGCTAGACTGTATCACGAGAACGTCAAGCAGTGCTTTTACAAGTATTCTTCATCCTCTCAAGAAAATGATGGAGGTCAAGCATCCTTTCAATATATAAGTTTGCAAACATAACAATAGTATAAAAGACTGATAGTCTAATTGGATATTTTTTTAACAAATAGTTAATCCAATTGTTTATCATCAAATCATGAAAAAACTCTACATATAATTTAATTTTTTATTGGCCGCGATCATATCCGCCAAGATGTAATATAGATTTTTGTGTTAGGATTTGATTATTTCTAAAAAAAACAAGTTTTTTTTTATTGAAAAATAGTGATTTTTTCAAGTTAACTTAATTAAATTTCACTTTGAGTTAACTAAATTAATTGAATCATGAGTTGACCTAACTGGTTAGGCGGAGTTTGATTATATTAATTTTCAAAATTTAATCAAATAAAAAAATAAAAATAAAAGTTAGATGTTTGAATTTGGAAGAATGGGTTAGTGCACCTCATCTAAAATAAATAAAACATAGGTATACCTATAATTAAAAAGGTAAGAGTTTAAATATTTTTATATCTTAAAAACTTTTCTTCAATTTATTTTCATTTATAAAAACATTATAAAAATCTTATTAAATCTTTTTTAACTCAGAATACTACTCAATCATTATAAGAAAAACTCAAATCATCACCATGAAAATTATTAGGGATAAAATTTTCGACACAATCTTAATCCCAGCACGGTAGTCTAATCCCATTACTAGACTCAACTTTTCTCCCAATTCACTCGTGTTTGTCTAAAGTCTAAATGTTTCGCACACCAAAAGGATTTTCCCACAACTCCTACCAATTTCAGCAATCCAGAACACAAGTTAAAAATTAAACACAACACAATAATAATACCAGCAATTTACGGAAACCAACCCAACCTTTATTAATTCACCAACGAAGAAATACACAATAATAATGTATGTGTGTTATGCACAATCCAAATCTGCATGCTACACATGTTTAGGCTCTATATAATACATATATATATAAAACTGCTCCTTGACAGATTAAATCCCTCTAGACAGCACATTTCAAAGACAGTCAACTGTCTTGTAACTACCCACAAGTAACTTCCTTGATCTACCATCCATAAAACCAAATTGCCCAAATTGATTTTTCTAGCAGCTAGCCCTCACATGCAACTTAATATGACTTAGACAGTCCATCGTCTGAATCCAGTATGATGCGAAGTATAAACCCGTTATTCGCACGTACTTGTTATACTCATTGTCGAAATCTGCACTACTCACTCATATTGCCTCTGCACTTACGTGATGCCACTGCTTAGCAGCGAATTGTTGGCGTGTCCTTGCATCTAAGGCTGTGACAAAAATCCTTTTTTATAAAATAAAAATATTAATATTATAATTGATTTTTTTATTGTGAAAATATATATTAGATGAACCCCTTCTAGTTTTTAACAATTTTCTCTTATTTATCAAGACTTACAAACATAAATATTAAAAAAATAAGTTTTGAGACCAAAATGTAAATTTTTTAAACTTCATGTACCGAATAAAAACATAAATTGAAACTTTAAGAACCAAACTAAATCTTTCATACACCTCTTGAACAATAGGCTCTGTTTTTTATTTGTTTATTTTGATTTTAATTCTTTTTTTTTAAACTATAACCTTAATTTCAATTTTGTAAAATTTATCTTTAATTCATCGTGGATATTTTCTCCGACATTTAACATAAGAAGAGAGAGCATTTAAAGAGAAGTGATTCCTAGTGAAAAAGACGGGCACATCCACAGTAAAACGTGACATGGTGAAAAGTAATGTATATTAAAATTAATATTTTTTAGTTTATAGTTGTAATAAAATTAAGACTACCACAATAATTTGGGAGATGTATTTGAAATTTATCTAATTACTTTATAAATAAATAAAAAATTAAAGCCTCAGAAATTAATAGAAGTACGTGTAAATTTATATTATTAAAATAAATAAATAAATAATTAAAATAAGGTCAACGATAAAGATATAAGGGCTTGAATGCAGATTTAGTCTACGTGTCGTTTCCCTGGACCCCTAGACAAAAACCTCCCAAGTTGACCAATAGTGTACCTTTTACGGAGCTTTAAAAAACAAAAGCAAAAGATGCAAGTTCAAAAAGGTCTTCTGTGTAAGACACGTGGGACATCAATATTTATTTATATTCCCATTTTATTTTTTATTTGATTTTTCTTAAGAAATACTACTTCTTCATGTACGCAGGTATTAGACTACTTAGGTCAATGAAATTATATATATATTTTTAAAAAAGAGTTTACCCATAGTATAAGAGAGGTTGTTTGATATTATATTTCTATTTTTATTTGAATATTTTTAGCATGAAAATAATATTAAATTAATATATTTCTTTAGTATTTTTTATATTTTTAATATGTTAATATTTAAAATAAAAAATATATAAGAATTATTTTAATATATTTTTAAATAAAAATATTTTTGAAAAGGAAATACACAACTATTCAAATACACAATAAATAACAAGCCTTTTCCAAAAAAAATTAAAATTATTAATTATTAAAATAATATAGCAGCTACTATGAATGTAAATATCTAAAAAAAATAAAAAAAATCCAAAACCAATCTCTTTCTTGATTTTACCAAAGCAACTTTATTTTGAAAATTGACAAATTCCAGAAAAAAAGAAAAAGAAAAAAAACAGTGTGAGTTTGAAGTTTGAAGAGGCATCATCATCCATCCGTCGAAGGACATGAAGACGAGGCGATCACCTTTGATCCTTCTCAACACTACACCTCTTGTATTATTAGTATTATTATCATCATCATCCGTAATCTCTCCGGCAGAATCAACAACACCACCTGAGAAAATAAATACTGTGTTAGAGCTAGATGAATCAAATTTCGATTCAACTATTTCCACCTACGATTATGTCTTCGTCGACTTCTACGCCCCTTGGTGCGGCCACTGCAAGCGTCTCGCTCCCGAGGTATCTATCTCTTCCTCTGTATTCTTCTTCTTCGTCAACGAAGCTTTGCTAGATAATGTTTTGAATTGATCTCACTTTTTTACGTGTTAAATTCTGCTCAATGTGGATTTTTATTGATTCATTAATTTAGGTCGAGCAGTTTTGATTTATGGATATTGATCGAGTTGAAGAAATTTAGGGTTTCATTTTTCTTTTAATTGGCGACGTTGCTTGTGTATTTTGTTATTTTCAACTTGTATTAAACTGTGGTATTACAATATATTATTTAATTAGTTTAATTGTTTTTCTTACAGTTAGATGTGGCTGCTCCCATTCTTGCCGAATTGAAGAAACCTATTGTCATAGCCAAAGTGAATGCTGATAAGTATACCCGACTTGCTAGGAAACATGAAGTCGAGTAAGTACTACTTTTTTGTATTTTGTATTTCTATGATACTGCGCGCGTTTAGATAATGAGTTTGCGTTGCCAATTTCTGTATAGCATCATGATGTTTGACTACTACTTGTCTTTACTTTGATTGATGCAGTGGGTATCCGACCCTCAAGATTTATATGCATGGCGTTCCAACAGATTATTATGGACCAAGGAAAGCAGAGTTACTTGTTCGTTTTCTGAGGAAATTTGTTGCTCCGGATGTTACTATCCTTAATTCAGACTCTGCTATAAGGGAGTTTGTTGAAGAAGCCGGGACACATTTTCCGATATTTATAGGTTTTGGTTTAAATGAGACTGTGATGTCGAATCTAGCCATTAAGTATAAGAAGAAGGCTTGGTTTTCTGTAGCCAGTTATTTCTCAGATGATGTCATGGTAAAATATGATTTTGACAAGAGTCCAACTTTGGTATCTATTCATCCAAGTTACAATGATCATACCGTCTTTTATGGGCCTTTTGAAGGTTTGTTTTCATCCTATTACCTCTGAATTAGTGTTAAGTATATGTATTCTGTCCTTACCAATGTGTTATTTGCAGTTTTCTCTGAGAATTTCAACTGTTGGTGTTTGCTTATTTGACGATGGCCTGATAGATATCTCATGTTCTTGACTATCCGGTACTTGTGTCTAGATACCATCAGCTTCAAAGAATGGAACTTAATAATAAAAAATACTGCTGGCAATCATAATAAGAAAAGGAAGAATACTCCGTTATTTCTGTGTGCTTCATTTGTGTTTGTACTGTCTTTGCATTGTGCACCATTTCCATGGTGGAATTTGCATACTATAAACTGGATGAAATTGGGATAATCGTAGGGTTACAAATTTGTTGCTGACATATAAAGATTGGTACACCATTTAATAGCTTCACATATTGGTAGATGCATTGTGTGTGTGCAGACGAGGATGTTTGAGCAGACGAGGATGTTTGAGCAAGAAATGCTACCTGACTGATAATTTGCAATATTAGAAATTTGTCATTGCATGGTATATATATCACAAACAGAGAAATGTCCTCACTGAGAACTCAAAACGTAGAATACTGAATTTTTTGCTTAGAAAATTGTGTTGGAGTACTAATTCTGAGTTTAGGTCAAGTATAACCCTGTTCAATTGAGT